AAAAAAAAAAAAAAAAGAGGAAAGAGGTGCTGATACCGGTCCATGGGGGTGACCCTCAAAGTGTTACTGTAACGCTAAGTGAAGCAAATCAGGCACAAAAGGTCACGGGTGTAAGATTCTACTTACATAAAATACCCAGAACAGGGACCTGTATAGACACAGAAACACACAGCAGTTGTCAGAGGGTGAGAGTGAGCAGAAGCAACTGTCCAAGGGTACAAGGTTTCCTTTCAAGGCAATGAAAATGTCTTGGAATTAGAGGTGATGACTGTACAACAGGTATATACTGAATGCCACTGAACTGCACATTTTAAAAGATTAATTTTATGTTATGTGAGCTCTGCCTCAACAACAAAAGAATGAACAGGCAAGGTGGCACGCATGTGGCCAATGGGACAGCCAGTGAAGTGTGCCAGAAAGTTTCAAGGGAAGCTGAAGTTTCAAGGGAAGCCTGAGAGAAATGTGAGATGGAGCGAGTAAAAATCTTTCTTCCCGTTTTGAGATGGAGCATCCCCGACACATTAATGCTGCTGGCAATGAACCCAGAGAGGAGACTGACAAGGGTACACCTGAGTCTAGACCTTGAGGACGTAATGGGGAGAAGATTCCAAACACAAGTGGGGAAACCAGCCTTTGAGAAAACATTTATGACAGAGGGAAAACAGACTGCATGTTGAAATTTTTATATGACTGGGCAGTAGAAAAATGAGGGTGTTTCTGATGATTACTTCCATTTTTCACAGAAGTTGAAGTAAAAAGCTTTTTGTAATTTTTATTTGTATGAGGTAGGAGAGGGATGAAATAAATAAAAAAATAAAAATGATCATTCTGAAGAATGGGAAAGGAAAACTCCTCGGATTGAAGGTTGAGGAATACTGTCCTCTACATTGATCATAAAATACCAAATACAGATATTTCTACTTTAGGAGTCTGGGTGTTGACTGCTTAGTTTACTTTGCTGCCAAACTGGTACATTAGAATGTGAAAACCAATGAGATTTTTCCTCTACTGAAACCAGCATCATATACAGCCTCCAACTTTAAACTAGGATTAAGACTCAGAGATTCTTAGAATCTGTCAAAATTAAATACAGTGAATCCTGTATCTTCAGGGCAGTAGTACAAGGGCACAGGACTCACCAAATGGGGACTAGATCTTGCAAAGAGTAAAAGAAGCCCTCCTGTCCTGCCTAACCCCTAAGAGTACAGCATGACCTTCCACCTAGGGTGTGTTTTGGTTTGTCTATTCCTGTACAGCATTCATTCCTGAGACACTCATCCCAAGTGAGCAAACCATGCCTAACATGTCTGACATAAAATCTCTGACAGCACTGTGAGCATTGAAAGTATAAAAAGTTGGACATGACAGATCAGTAGGGTGCGATTGGTAATAGGTAAAAAAGAGTCAAAAAAGTAAACAGAATTCTCCAAACAGAATTTTTTTTTTTTTTAATAAAGCTCATAAACTTACCGTCTTCATCCTTCACCACACTCTGCATGTTCTCCTGGTCATGTCTGGGGACTACCACAGTTGCTACCTCTTGGACATCCTTCATCAGAACATCCCTGTCCACTCTGAGAATGCTTTTGAGTCTGCTGAGCTCCTTTGGGGCGTTCTTTTTCCTCTTTTCAGCACGCATCTTCCTTTTCCACTTACTTCGTAAGCTTTTAGCCATGTTTTACCTGAACAACAACAAAAAAAGGTTAAAAACAAATAATTTGTACATGTGTGTATACATATTTATATATGTAAAAAAGTAAATCCTTAGAAAATCAGGCCAACAGGTAAGTCTACAAAATGGGAGCAATGCAAGGGAAAATGCTTCAACTCGTTCATGATTTATGGTAGCTTCATGTGCAGTTTATGTGAAGATCAACATGGCACATACAGCCATTAAATAACAATTAAGAACACACTCCGTGAAACTCTTGCGGTCAGGGGCAAACTATAGGTCCAGCAAATTCTGAAAGCTCTGTGAGTTTTCTTGGGATGGAGAAATTAGTTTCCTAGAAATGCAAAGGGCTTCATCACCTAACATTTATGCAACAGCTTACAAACTGCAAGTGAGTTTATAACCACCCACACCCAATTTTCATTATCCACCGTCTTAAGCCAATGTAACTACTTTAAATTTGTTTCCACTCTTGCTTCCCTTGCACGCCTCAGTCCCAGTCGGTTGTTAGTTTGAATTTCTAAAAACTCAGAGCACACCACTGCCTCTTACAGTTAACAACGCCCCGTCATGTATTCAAGACCTAGGAGGCTTGGTGTGTCCTGCCCGCTGCCCCCTGAACTCTATTTCGTCTCCACCACTGGCACCTCCACCCCAGCAAGCTGCAACCAAAGGAAAAAGAAGCGCAAACTGCGTCCCGTCCAGCGCCTTCCCACGGCGGTCCCCAGGCCGGGATGCGCCCTCCCAAGCCTGGCTCCGTCACCACGGTCGCTAAGCGCCTTCTCTGACCGCGTCAGGTCTCCGCCCGCCTAGTCGGCTCCCAGCCTGACACTGCTCTGTCGGGCCCCGTCGGAGGCTACCGGGTCTTGCTCGGCTCTGGGCCCCCGCACACAGGGCTGCACGTACAGCACAGGCTCTGCGAGCACCTGCTGGACGCGGGAACCGCAAATCACTCCGTTCCCTGTCTACGATAACCCGACCCTCGCGAGGGGCGAAGGCAGCCTCGACGGGCCGGGAAACAAGGGCTCCGCTTCCACAACACGCAGAGGCCGCCGCCCCGGGGCTCACGCCGGCGCAGCTCGGGGCGAGACTGGAGACACTCCTCGAGGCAGCCAGGCAGACCCCCGCAGGACCCGCCGCACCCACGGGGCCCCGGACTCCCGTTAGACACTCACAGAAACACGCGCCGCCGGATAACGCCGACCGGACGTCCCGCGCTTCCGGCTTCCGGGCAGGGTCGGCCCGCGGCGGGCGCAGTGCACGCCGGGAGCGGAAGCCGGGGGGCGGGGCCCTGGGGGCGCGGAGCTCGGGGCTGTGCGAGCCGCGGCGGGTGTGGGAGGGGAGGATCGAAGACCGGCCCCAGGTAGGCCCCGGCCCCGGTGGGCCCGAGACGCCAGCGCGGGAGGAGCGGGGCCCCGCCAGGCAGGGCACAGCCGACCTCTCCCCGCCCGGGGCTCCCGAGGCCGCGTGGACCGAACCGTCCGGGGCGCGGGGAGCCCGTCTTGGCAGCCTGCGGGTGCTCCGGTGACGCCTCACGGACGCGCCCGAGGGTCACGTCAATTGTACGCTTGTTTGTGCCCCTGCCTGCGTGTCAGGCACACCTCGGGGTTGCGACCGAAACCTGAGAGTAGCCTTTACCACCCTAAAACGACATCCCTGCGCGGTTCTGGTCACGTCCTTACCGGCCGGCCGCGCTGAGCCCGGCGGGGCGCTTCTGCGCGTGTTGCAGACGGCGCAGGCTTGGGAACCACACCGGTCCGTGTTGTGTTTGGTTCCAACACTTGTGCGTGACAGGGGTGAGTAATTAATGTCCTAGAGTCTGGATCCCTTGTCCCTAGAGCGAAGTGAGGTAGCCGAGCCGAGCCGCCTGCGCGCGGACAAGAGCTCGGCACGCGGCAGCCTTTCCCGATCGGCTTTCCGACTTCGGTTTGCTTATATAAGCAGTGTTTTCTGCAGACCTGCAACATGAACCAGAAACAGGGAAGGAATTGTCCTTAATGACAACCCGGCAAGTTCCTTCTGGCTTCAGTAAAGCAGAGTTCTTTCTGAGACAATTTATGTTCTCTAAGAAACCATGCGTAGCATGGAAATTTATGAATTCAGACAAGAATTTTTATTTTGTTTTAACAGAGACTGAAAAGAACTTATAATGTGGTATGGAAATAGGAAGCATGCTTGGGAAACCTGATTTCTTTAAATGGAAGATTAAGTTCTTACAGAGCAGTGATTTTCACTGGTGTGCCATGAGAGGATCTTAGGTATGCCACGAAAGTTCTTAAAGATCATTAAGCTATTTTCCAAAGAAGTTCAGAGCGCAGTAAGTATATCCTTTTTTTTTTTTTCACTTTTTTTGTTAATCAGCATTATTTAAGTGTACCGCGGAAGTTTAACTTTACGTTCAAGTGTGCTGTGAGATAAAAAAGGTTGAAAAACACTGTTATAGAGCAAATGTATTTTAGCAAGTTAACAATATACTGTAATCTTTCATATTAGAATTTAGCTACTTTTCCCCAAAATAAATGTGCACATTGCATTTTAGACCTTAATTTCAAATAGTGCAAACTTAGTGCATCTTGTTTAACATAGCAGGCCACAACTCCTCAATAGACTATGCTACTAGAAAAGAGAAAAGAATTTATCGTGATGAAGATGTGGTGGTGTTAAAATACATGCCACAGTCCTGCTTTACAAACACTTTAAAAAGCAGAATCCGAGGAACACAGAGAAAAGGCCATGAGAAGACACAGCAAGTAAGAAGGAAGCTACACGCAGGCTGAGGAGAGGAGAGAGGCTGCCGAGAAACCAAACCAGCAGCACCGTCTTCGTTACCTTCAGCTTCCAGAACGGCTTCAACTGTGAGGAAATGTCATTCAGATTTGGCCAACATCTCATTAAGCCCTCTGTGGTCTTTCTTAAAACAGAACTGTCCTTCGCTCTCGTGAACAGGAAACCTGTGGTGCCAGGACATGTCCTTGTGTGCCCACTGCGGTTAGTGGAACGCTTCTGTGACCTCCGTCCAGAGGAAGTGGCTGATTTGTTTCTGGCGACCCAGAGAGTTGGGACAGTGGTGGAGAAGCATTTCCAGGGGACCTCTCTCACCTTTTCCATGCAGGACGGCCCTGAAGCTGGACAGACTGTGAGGCACGTGCATGTCCACGTGCTTCCCAGGAAGGCTGGAGACTTCAGCAGGAATGACAGCATCTATGATGAGCTCCAGAAACATGACAGAGAGGGGAAGGACTCCCCGGCTTCTTGGAGATCAGAGGAGGAAATGGCAGCAGAAGCTGCAGCTCTGCGGGTCTACTTTCAGTGACACAGTAACTCAGACAAATTCCAAAGCATAAGGAAATGGGCCTCACTCTTGAGGACTCTGCAGCACTGGAAATGAAGCTAAGCAGACTTCGTTACCTCTTAGAATTCTGCAGCATTTAGGAAAGATTTTATTACACCTGGGTTGTGATTTAGTTATGATGACTCACAGGCCAACTCAAACCCATGGCCACAGCCCTTCCACCCCTTTGTTGATTATATACTTAGAATAGAATTGTTCCTAAATTGTCCCTGGCCTGGCTAGAAATAAAATAGTAGTTAAAATTGTTTTAAAAGACTGAATCGTGTGCAGTGTTATTGAAAAAACCTCTTTACCTACATCCTTCTCCAGTGTGCATAAAAGTAGTAATGAAATAGTTAAATGGCCTTAGTGTATTTAAACTTCCTTAATGCACTCCATCATTCATACAGTTGAACATGAGCTCTGTTGTGGACACCTCTGATAAATCTGCAAAGGAAGCCAAACTGCTGTGTCCAGGGACTTTAGCCTCACAGAACTGGAAGGCAGGTGTGGAGCTGGAGGTGCAGTGCTGAGCACCTGGAACAGGTGGCAACCCCACCCAGGTCTGCTGTACTAAGAACACAAGTCAGGGGGGCCCTAATCCACATCATCCTTTAGTGGGAACAGGAAGACTTCTGGGATTCAGATAGTGACCCCACACCCCACTCCCATTGCTTATTCCCTCAATGAGGACTTCAAGACAAAGTTCTATAAAGAATGAAAAGACAAAAGAGAATCTCAGTTCCCAGCTGCACCAAAAAAGGCCTGCAGCTGGCTGTTGACACCACTGATCACAGGAGCGGTATTGAGGGCAGCAGGTATAGGAGACCCACTGTGCACTTTCCCAAGTCACCCTCAGTAAGCACACAAGTTCCCAGATACTGCCCTCTCATTTCTTGGTTTTCCTCCTACCTCTTTGGCTGTTCTTTGTCCCTTGCACTCTGAGTTGCTAGTTGCTATGTCCAAGTCCTCGTAATTCCACTTTTTAATGTTTCTGGATTATGTATATTTTTACCTTTATTTGAAGTAAAAAATTAAAGTTATGTATGACCTTTCAAATAGCAATGCCTTAAATTGTTCTAGGTATATTCCCTGCCTAGGTGACCTTATACCCATGCATGGTGGGGCATGTACAGGGACTTACATAGTAGCATTGATAATGATTGTAAGGAAAGGAACCATATAGAAGTTCATTGACTAAAGAATATATGAGTAATTACAGTCCATTTATAAAATGAAATAATCTACACCTAAGATTTCCAAACCTCTTAGTCTTGGGATGCCTTTATAGTTTTAATTATAATACATCAGAAATTAGAACAATTTTTTGGAAAATTTAAGTTATTGACAAAGAATAAATTCATTATATGTTAACATTTTTATGGAAAACGTTTCCTAAACAAAAAAATTAGTGAAAAAACATCATTTTACATGTTTTAAGTGTCAAGTCTGCTTTTGATTACTTAGTGTCTTTAGTCAGAATACATACCATTCTGTCTTTGGATTGAAAATAGCATTACTACCAGGAGCGGACATTAAGCATTTTGTTTACTTGGTATATCTATCAGTCCTTGTAATGGCCCCCCAAAATAGGCATTATTATTCCCATTACAAAGATGAGACAAAGACCTAAGGAAGGAGGAGAGACATGTTGAGTGTCCTGTGAGCAGCTGGCTGCAGAGCAGGGCATCTGATCCAGATGTCCTTACCCACTGTGCTGTTAAACTGAGCGGCACCCCATCACATACTTGGGTATCCAAAAGTGAAGTGATGGTAATAAAGTCAAATGAGTATCTGAAGAGCACATGAGGTGAAATCAATACTGCTAACTTATTTCAGCATAGTAGGTGGGAAAGACACACCCACCATGTGGGAAAGTGAGGTTAAGATGGGCCTGGCCCCTTCTCTTAACAGGTGTCCTCATAACAGGAAGTGAGAGCTCAGCCATCTATAGATGGCCCTGACAGCACTGTATCTTGGACTTTAGCCTCCAGAACTACCTGAAAACATGTTGAAGCCATCCAGCCTGTGATTCTGGGTTATGACAGCCCTAGCCAACTAGTGCAGTGGGAGATTCAACAAGGTTTCAGTGGTTCCTGGTGGACCCACACAATGTGCCGTGTGGGCCAACAAATGACAGCACAAGACATACTCCAAACATACTCATTTTGAAGTGTATTATATATACTTAATGGCAGAGAAACTAGTATATTTGGGGGTCCTCTAACCACATTAGCATGCTATAACTTTTATTTATTTATTTATTTATTTATTTTGAGACAGAGCCTCAAGCTGTCCCCAGGGTGCCATGGCATTACAGCTCACAGCAACCTCCAACTCCTGGGCTCAAGCGAGTCTCCTGCCTCAGCCTCCCAAGTAGCTGGGATTACAGGAGCCCAGCTATTTTTTTTTTGTTTGCAGCTGTCATTGTTTGGTGGGTCCGGGCTGGATTCGAACCCACCACCTTAGGTTTACGTGGCTAGTGCCTTAGCCAGTTGAGCTACAGGCGCCGAGCCCATGCTATAATTTTTAAATGAAACCTATACTTTATCTAGATCTTTAATATATCATTTTATAACAAACTATCATTAGCAATTTTGGGGGGGGGGCGGGGAGAAAGTCTCACTACATCACCCTCAGTAGAATGCTGTGGCGTCGCAGCTCACAGCAACCTCAAACTCTTGGGCTTAAGCGATTCTCTTTCCTCAGCCTCCCAAGTAGTTGGGACTACAGGTGCCCGCCACAACGCCCAGCTATTTTTTTGTTGTCGTCTTTTAGCTGGCCCAGGCTAGTTGGGAACCTATCAGCCTCAGTGTATGTGGCCAGCACCGTAACCACTGTGCTATGGGCACCAAGCCAGCATTTTAATGTAATACTGAATAATGGTGGAATTTATCTTTTAAATTTTGTATGTGGCCAGCACCGTAACCACTGTGCTATGGGCACCAAGCCAGCATTTTAATGTAATACTGAATAATGGTGGAATTTATCTTTTAAATTTTTTCCTTTCTGTATGAGATTAAAGTCTAGCAAAAAGAGATTTACACTTTTTAGTATTACATTTTATTTTGATCCAAGAATTATTTTTTAATTGCAAATGAAGAGCTATGTATGGCCAATTTAGGATTTAAAAGAATTGTAAATGGAATTTTGATACCTCTTACCTGCGATTCTAAATCAAGGATTTAGAGATGAGACACCATAAAGAATAGTAAGATTTTAAGCACAGAAGTACAAAGGACACAAATCATCAAAGAAAGAATTCATTATATTTCAGACTTTATTGTTTAATGAAACAGTTTCTATGTACTGTTTTCAATTACTTTTTATTAACTGCTTCCAGAAACCGCAGCAGGTGCAGGAATAGATTGATGATATCCAAGTAGAGGCTGATGGCAGCCAGCACGTACTCTTCAGGTGACAGTTTATGCATCAGTGAATGTGTGTCATAGATGATGAACCCACAGAAAAGAAGGGCTCCCGCAGCAGCCAAGACCAACTCCATTGTTTCATTATAAAAAAATAGCTGTAGGCAAGAGATTTTAAAGATCTGTTGAGTGTTTAAGAACAGTTTTAAGAATACTTAAGTTACTTTCCCCCAGTGGCCCACCTCAACACACATATTTAATAATGGTGTGAAACTTAGAAAACAAATGTTAAAAGCAGGAAAAAGCAAAGCAAGTCCAAGCCTGTTCTGTTGGAGGGAAGGACGAATGTGTGGACATCTTCCTTTTGGTTAAAACTGCCCACTTGACTCTGAACAGTGGCATTCCAAATATAAATTATTTTAAAGTATATCTCTTTTTTCAGAATGAAATGAGTGATTACAAGTTGTTAGTTAAAAGTAAAGGCCTCGGGGGTGGCACCTGTGGCTCAGTGGGTAGGGCACCGGCCCCATATACTGAGGGTGGCAGGTTTGAACCCAGCCCCGACCAAACTGCAACAAAAAAAACAGCTGGGTGTTGTGGGCACTTGTAATCCCAGCTACTGGGGAGGCTGAGGCAAGAGACTCGCCTAAGCCCAGGAGTGGAGGTTGCTGTGAGCTGTGACACTACAGCCCTCTACGGAGGGTGATAAAGTGAGACTGTCTCTAAAAAAAAAAAAAGGCCTCGTTCTATGTAATTTAAATCATTTGTTCGTTCTTCTTTTAATCAATAGTAAAGACAAGACTGACTTTTAAAGAGATTATAGCCATTCTATATACAAATGTTCTAGATAGTAGAACTAAGTGTCCTATCCTAAGAGTATCTCTTATGGCTTCTTAAGGTTGTGTATATTGACATAGCCAGAATTATATTTTAATTTAACCATTACAACATAACTTACCTTCAAGAATCCTGACAAGCATAAAATCCACAAACCAGCAAACAGACTATAAAAACAAAATTTTAATAATTTAGAATAGTGTTCCTTACAAAAAGACATTGTAAAACCATTCAACATTTTCTGAAGAAACAAATCCATCCCGATTTTTGCCAAAGAATAATTAAAATGCAAGAACTCACAAACATACAATACCCATTTTGAATTTTTTTTAAGAAATTTAACAAATTCAACATTTGTTTTTGTAGTTAACAGTATCATTTTTAAAGTTTTCAACTGGAACACAAAATATGGTGATAAGCATAAATATCATTAGATTTTAATTCAGAGATTTACAAAATCCTCTTGAAAATAATACATGAACAAAGGAAATAGGACTGCATTTTTTTTTTTTTTGAGACAGAGCCTCAAGCTATCCCCCTGGGCAGAGTGCCATGGCATCACGCTCACAGCAACTTCCAACTCCTGGGTTCAAGCGAGTCTCCTGCCTCAGCCTCCCAAGTAGCTGGGACTACAGGCGCCCGCCACAACGCCTGGCCATTTTTTTTTGGTTGCAGCCGTTATTGTTGTTTGGTGGGCCCAGGCTGGGGATTCGAACCCGCCACCTTAGGTGTATATGGCTGGCGCCTTAGCCACTTGAGCCACAGGCGCTGAGCCAGGACTGCATTTTTAAACCAAATACTAATAGCAAGTTATTCTGTGAACCAAAGATAACAATGTACCTTCTGTGTTATTCTTATTTATTATAGAATTCATTATAGAGTTTCATTATTATAGAATTCATTCACTATTATAGAATTCATTATTATAGAGTTTGTTGAGTACAAACTCAACAGGGCTGTAACTGTATGAGTGATAATTCAGTTGTTGCATGTATATGTAAAATACAGTTACATAACAAAGGACATCTAAGAAGTCAGTGCTTTGTCATCAAACATGGGACATGTCTGCTGTTTTGGGCCACAAGGAATTACAAAGGCGAAATTTATCCTCCCTCTTCAAAACCAGACAAAACCTAAGAAACAGCAGCTTCCAGACCCCGAACAGCAAGCAGCACAGGAGAGTGTCGCTGGGGTCAGGTGGACAGAGAGGGTGAGCCCTGTGACTGCCCAGCCAGAGTCTCTAGGCCAAGACACAGGGACAAGAACCCACATAGGGCCTTGTGGTTTTGAGTTGAGACAAGAATTCAGAATTCTGGGAGACCAAGAATTTACAGGGAATTTACGTCTCTACATGGGAAACACTCGTGTGTTGGGGTGGTATGCACAGGACTCCCCTAGCGCCTCTAGCTGATTTCTGCTGGGCGCATACATAGGAGGAAGTGACCGAGGCTGGAGAATCACCACAGAAAAGCAGGCACTATCGCCCTGCAGTAGTTTTCTCACAAAAGGTGTTAAACTTGGGAACTACACGTAACTTTGGGTACTTGCCTTGGTGTGGGACAGCCAGCTTGTGGTAGCTTGTAAGAGGAATCTTGCAAGTCAGTTGTTAAAATGTCAAAAGCTTAAAACAGGCCATGGTGGACATATTTAACATACCACAGAAATAAGTAAGTGCTACAGATCAGAGCTTGCTTTTCCCCCCCAAAGCTAGTTTACCAGCACATCAACTTTAAGGTTATTTCTTGTTCTGTGCTGCTTGTTGAGAAAGAGGAGGACAATTTATTTTTGCCAGTCCTACAGCTGAACTTGCAAAGCTTATGCCCTGAATGTTTGGGCAGACAGACATTATTACCTCCCACTCCTACACAGGGGTACAAGGAAAGTTATCAGTGCACTGAGCAGGGGTAAAGGGAGACAAAACATGTGTAAGAAGCCACCACCACGGGCGGTGCCTGTGGCTCAGTGAGTAAAGTGCTGGCCCCATATACCAAGGGGTGGTGGGTTCAAACCTGGCCCCAGCCAAACTGCAACAACAAAAAACAGCCGGGCCTTGTGGTGGGCACCTGTAGTCCTAGGTACTCGGGAGGCTGTGGCAAGAGAATTGCCTGAGCCCAGGAGGTGGAGGTTGCTGTGAGCTTTGTGATGCCATGGCACTCTACCAAAGGCGATAAAGTGAGACTCTTATCTCTTAAAAAAAGAAGCAGCAGCCACCACAACACATCCCTCTGCCCACATGCAGTCTAAATTCACAACCTTGGTAGTGAAGAAAATATCTAAGCCATAAATTCAGCTCCCAGTGGGCCAATCTTGAGTGTCCCAGCAGCTGCCCACAGGCTATGGAGGGAAGCACCTTAAACTTAGGCCCCAAAGAAATTCAGTAAATAATTTTAAGGGCAATTGCATAGTTAAAAGTAACCAAACATAAGGAAATAAAATATCGTAAGAATTATCAGAAACAGACACAGATATGTCTTCAGAAGTATTTGGCCTCATCTATATATGGTAAGTGTAGTATCAGTTTTATCTATAAATGTGTATTTATCATGAAGAGGCTACAGTATAAGGGCGGTTGTTTCTCAGAACGAGAGTTAGAGACAACACTGGAAGGGACAGGAGGGGAGAGAAGAGCTGAAAACCAGGACAGGAAGCAGGCCCAGCACAGACCTCTCACCACCCCCACCACACAGATGCGCACAAACATCTCCCCAGGAAAGGAAAGAACCAAGAAAACGGTGCCTCTAACTCCATTCCAACAAAGCTATTTAGTTTATTTTTATTTCAGAGTAATGTGAAGGTGCTAACGATTAGGGTACAGAGTTTGTATTGGTTAGGTAGAGTCCCTGTTGGAGTGTGTCCCGTCCCAGGAAGGCCTGCCAGGTGCCCCTCCATTGTGCCCATTAGGTGGGAGTATACCCAGTCCCCCTTTCCCCTCCCCCCTAAAAAAACCATTTAAACAGCTTGCACAACTGTCTCTGTTGGCTGACCAACTCTATTTTATCCCTATAGAGACTGCCAGTAATTTGGGTTACCAAAATAAAAAGAGGGAGGGTATGGAAAGTAAGTTTTGCAAGAGTAGACTTTTGTAAATATTCAATGTTGTAACAGGAAAAAGAACAGAAAACCGTGGGGCAACTGTGTGCCAAAAGAACGCCACTGAGAGCCCAGGGCAGAGCCGAGGCGCCCTTGCAGGTAACCGTGACACAGCACCCCATCCTAACAGAAACAGCCATTCTAAGCACATTCGAAGCATTCAGGTTAATCCAGATAGATCAAAAGGTTGAAAGTTCATGCAGACATTTTAACTTCTGAGCTAAGCACTGCTTTTCCACAAAGTTGTGGATGGTCTTGGTAACATTTATATTAAGACAAAGACAAATAACTTCAATAAGTTCCACACTGCTCATAAAGCACCCATGTTAGTCTCTCTGGAAAGCCTATTTTTTTGTTTTTGGCATTTATTTCCTTTTCACTAGAGAGGGAGCAAATGACTCAGCCACTTTCCATCTCCTCGAGTGCTCTGGAGAGCAGGCCTGGCCCTGTACTCAGAAACACTCTCTTGTCACCCTGCGTCACACAAGGCACTGACCCAAACTAGCAGTATAGCTCTTCTCTCAATGCCTCATGAAACAGTAAAGGTATCTTTCTATTTTATCCAAGAATATATAACTTACCCTGCTCCAAATTTGCTAAAATCTCTCTTAGATTGTAGAGTATATGCAGTCAAACCAAGGAATACTGCTGTAGTCAGTATAAAAGCTTGCAGAATAATATAGACATCATAGAAAGTAACTGTAAAAGTAAAACAGATTAAAATGCATATAAATACTATAAAATAGCTTTCCCTGGCATTTAACAGAAGTGCTTAATTTTCCCTTGTACTACTCGCCAATAAAAACAACTATGAGGCTCGGCGCCTGTGGCTCAAGCGGCTAAGGCACCAGCCACATACACCTAAGGTGGTGGGTTCGAATCCCCAGCCCGGGCCCACCAAACAACAATGATGGCTGCAACCAAACAATGGCCAGGCGTTGTGGCGGGCGCCTGTGGTCCCAGCTACTTGGGAGGCTGAGGCAGGAGACTCGCTTGAGCCCAGGAGTTGGAGGTTGCTATGAGCTGTAATGCCATGGCACTCTACCCAGGGGGATAGCTTGAGGCTCCATCTCAAAAAAAAAAAACAACTATGAAAAGATTTCTTATCCAGTGTTGATTATATCAGTACAGTAAAACTACAACCACAATACAATAAACCATCTGTGAAAAATTGATTGATACAAGACAAGGGGCTCACAGTATTATGAAGTTAATGAGATGACTGCAGAGACCAGACAGAGGCAGCTGGTCAGGAGTTAGGTCACTACAGAGTGATTCTCACTCCCCGGTCCTACCTGCAGCTTTTCACCATGTGGGGATCATCTATTATGACCCAGATTGTCTATTCTGGGTCTTCTATAGGGCTAAGAATTCCTAGACAGTAACAGCAATTCCAGCAACCACTGGTTAGTTTCACTAAGTTTATCAGCCCAATTCAAGACAATTGGGCAAGAAAAATATTGGAGTGATTTCAGATGGGCCACCATTCAAACTCCTGAGCTCAACTGATCCTCCTGCTTCAGCCCTCTGAGTAGCTGGGACCATGGGCACACGCCACCAAACCTGGCTGATTTTTATTTTTTGTAGAGATGGGGTCTTGCTACATTGGTCAGGCTGGTGTCAAACTCCTGGCCTCAAGCAGTCTTCCTGCCTCGGCCTCCCAAAGTGCTGGGGTCAAAGGTATGAGCCATCCACCCAGCCTTCCATGCTACCTACCCCACAGAGGGCAAGAACCAACCACCAACTGTTTTATATGCAAATCTGCATTACCTTGGGGCACATTATTGTGGGTTCACTGAATACAGACCAAACTTCCTTCAGTGGTTGCACAATGACCATCCAGTTCATATTAAACTTCAGAAACAAACACCTTATTACCTGCAAGATGACCCACATTAAAGTCACTGGGATACACGAAAGTGCTGTTACAACTTACCAACAACAGCCACAGTCAGGGCTTCCGACAGCGTCTAATAAAAAGAAACTGAAATTAACTAATGCACGTGAGACTCATACTCCCTCATTTTCATTTTCTAATTTCTAGCAGTTAAATGTGACCCCACAGGGGTCGTTATCTTTGTCACAAAGTCCTAAACTGAACGTTTTTAATTCAGGGACCATCTACTACACCAGGCGTCCTCAAACTATGGCCCAGGTGGCCCGCTGAGGACATTTTCTGGCCCACCGGGTGTTTTTGCTGCCGCTGCCTGTCCTGCTTAGCAGCTGACTCGTCCCACGGCCTGCAGTCCAGCCCTCCAACGGTCTGAGGGACAGTGAACTGGCCCCCTGTTTAAAAGTTTGAGGACCCCAGTTTAAAACATTTGTGTGTACTATACACACACACCCATCTAGGGCAAGACAGAGATGCCCTCCTTTGTCATTCTGATGGGAGGGGCCCAACACCTTGAGAGTGAAAGGCCTGAGTCATCTGAAAAACTGCCCTCTGTGTATCCAACACACCTCGCCGTCTCCTCCTCTGGGCTGACCTGTGCTGAGTGACTCCCTTGCCTACAAGGGTCTGGCTGAGGCTTTTCTGGGACTACCGGTGCCCGCCACATCATCTGGCTATTTTTTTTTTTTTTTGGTTGCAGCCATTATTGTTGTTTGGTGGGCCCAGGCTGGATTTGAACCCGCCAGCTCAGGTGTATGTGGCTGGCGCCTTAGCTGCTTGAGCCCCAGTCCCGGAGCCTCAGCTGAGGCTTTTCTTGGGGGCCCCTCCCTCTTGGTACAAGTTGGCCACACCCTCTTCCGTGATGGAAGTCACATCTCTCTGAGAGGAGGCTACCTGTGGATGTGAAGAGGAATTTCACACAACCTAGTTTCCCTCTGTACCTCCTCCCTTTCTCCTGGGACACAGCCAACTACACCAGGAGCTGCATTGGACTGAGACCCGGCAACCCACATCCTGGCCAATAACCTACATGTGACCTGTGCCAGCAACTACCAACCCATCAGAGTCCGTCTGACTCGGCTCTGCACTCAGCTCAGAGGGGGAGCAGTGGCAAAAGGCACTGAAGCTAATGGTGTACGTAGGAAAATCAAAAGCAACGTGTAGGGACAACTGAGGCAGAGAAGAGACACATGGCAATGACAGAGAGGAAGACCACAAAACCCAGCTGCTGAACATCATACACCATCCAGCCGGAACTGCCCTCCAGCTCCTCTGTGTGAGACACGCGGATCTGGGTGGTGGGTTCCTGCGCTCTTAGACCATCATGGCCTGTTACCTTGCCAGCGACAGCGCCTGGGGCTGAATCTACACTTGACTGTCCAGTCAGGAGCTTTCACACAAACACAAAGTCACTACCAAGATTCATAAACTTTCCTTAGTTTAAAGCATTTTAATCTGCTCAGCTTTTTTATTTGACTACAAATAATAGTTTAGAATGTTTTAAAGTAAATTTTTAAGTCAGAATGCAATCTGAGAAAAGGCAAAATAATTTTAAAAATATATAACTTGAGCCTTACCAACTCATTCTGGTCATATTCTAAGACTGATTTTTTGCAGGTGATAGTTTAGGTTTTGATGTTCACAAATGTCTCAACAAATGTCACTTAATGTTGGGTTCTCCCAACTATACTTTTTAAATAGTCAGTAAAGCACATCATTTGTGCAAAATGGTCCTTAGAAAGAACAGAGTGATAAGATAAAAATAATATGGAGTAGTTAATCATAAAGGTTTAAGTTCTATGAAATTAAGGCAATATTATAATTTTTTCTCAGGAAAATCAGAGATTATTAGAAGTAGAAAGTATCACAGGGAATATCTACCTTAATATTTGCATTTTACAGATGAGAAAAAAAGGACAGAAAAGCCGAATGCCTTGCTGACTGTCATATGATCAGAGAGTAGCAAAGCTACATCATTTGATTCCAGGTCAGCACTTTTTTCCACTGTCTGCTAATAGTAGAAAAACCTTTTAAACTGACACCATTAAAAATTCTAAACGACAAGGTGGTGCCCTATGGATCAGTAAGTAGGGCACCAGCCCCATATACCAAGAGGCAACTGAAGCAAGAGAATCACCTAAGCCCAAGAGCTGGAGGTTGCTGTGAGCTGTGATGCCACAGCACTCTACCAAGGGCGAGAAACTGAAACTCTGTGTCTAAAAAAAAAAGCTAAAAATTCTAAATGACTGCTTCTAAGTAATTTTCTAAAATACTCTAACTGAAATAAAGTCTCACTAATTTTGTTCTGCTATTGTTATATATGCATATGTGTTCAATTAAATAAATATCTGTACCAGACCATATAGCTCATGGGATCAAGCAGCCAGAGTTAAGCTCAGAACACGCTATAAGAAACACCTGTAACATCTCCGTAATGTAACACCTTGGTGATAAGGGCATGGAGAAGGCATTCGGCTCTCTTAACACGAGAGCTTGGGAGACGAGAACATCAGTGATTGGCAGTCACTACACCTGTGGTCTAAGTGGCCACAGAATCACGTCTGTAAGAAGCTGCAGGAGAAGGCAGTCGGGGAGCACACGATTTTCCACAGACTAGCTCACTCTGACTTATTCACTTCTCCTGCCCGCAGGCCATCAGCCCGGTGTCTCTCCCAGAAGACTGCTAAGATTTACGCTCCTATAAAGTCTGTTTCTGTCCCTCAAAGACTGTCTTTCTCTCTCTCTCTCCTTTCTGCTACGATGAATAGTCCTCAGGTACCTAAGGGTAATTGTTCCCAAGCAAGATAGCACAGCAGTCCAGTCTACCAGGACAACAGATAAGCTGAGGCCAGAGACCTGGCCAGTCCCAGGCCCCAACAAGTAGCACCCCAGATGGGACCCAACAAATATATTTAAAACTCAGGAATGTGTCTTGAAGTATTTTGACAATACTCACAAATCCAAAGAGCAGGTACAGGTTAAGGGGATGCTTATGTCTGTTTAAAGTCAATGCAAAAATGGAGCCCAAAGAGCCAAAGGCAAACAGCAAAATTAAGGCAGGACTGGAAAACATGAAGTTAAAAGTTTTCAAGTTAAAAACAAAACAAAACATGAGCACTTGTATCCAGTTTAATAAAATGTATCAATTTTATGTGTTTATAAAAGTACAGGAAAAAAACTAGAATTATTCACATCAAACTATCAAATTATTTAACATCTGGGAACTCTGAGCAGCATGAGGTGAACAGTCACAGCAGGACAGAGAAAGGGGAGACTCTTTCTGTTTGATGAATGAATGTTTAGCCTATTGGAATAATGTCTGCAATTGGCAAACTAATTTTTGTTAACAAAAATAGAAAAAAGATATCAAATAATAAATTTTAAACCTAAGTACTTTTTAGGGTATTTATCACTATACAACTATAATCTTTTTTTTTTTTTTTTGCAGTTTTTGGCCAGTGCTGGGTTTGAACCCACCACCTCCAGTATATGGGGCCAGCACCCTACTCCTTTGAGCCACAGGCACCGCCTACTTTTTTCTTTTTTTTTTTTTTGAGACAGAGTCTCACTTTGTTGCTCTTGGTAGAGTACTGTGGCATCACAGCTCACAACCACCTCAAACTCCTAGGCTCAAGTGATTCTCTTGCCTCAGCCTCCCTAGTAGCTGGGACTATAGGGGCCCAACACAACGCCCAGCTATTTTTAGAGACTGGGTCTCACTCTTGCTCAGGCTGGGCTCAAATTCATGAGCCCAAGCAAGCCATCCACCTAAGGTTCCAAGAGAGCTAGGATTACAGTGTGAGCCACTGCACATGGCCAAGTCCCTTTTTGTCCAACCACTGTCTTAGGCTTTAGGGACAGGGCACATCACCTAATAAAATCAAAAAATTATGACAGAAAAAATACATGCTGCAAAAATTCTCAACAGTATTCCAGGAGATGAGGGTTTAACCCTAAGAAACTGTGAGCTAATATAAGCTAATAAGTTTACTTTAGAGCTACCTAAACATGTAGTGAAACATTTTCCTTCACTAAAAAAAATTAAGCTGATTTTTATAAGAGTTACTTAATGAAATTATTTACATTTTAACCTCAAAAGTTAATAGAAAAAAATAAAAGAACTTTGCTTACAATATGCCCTTTTAATCATATGTAATGTCTAAAAATGATGCAGAATCATGTCATCACCTCACCTTTCATGTACAAATGCCCGTATGGACTCGAAGTATAAAAACACTGTAGAAGTCATTGTAGTTAAGAGAACTTGCAGAGAAAGGATGCTGTAGACTTTCCTTAGAAAGGCTGAAAGAGAAAAAAAGTTACGCATGACTATTTTATTAAGCATTCATCATAGAGAAGTAAAATCAAATTTCTTCTTAGAAAAATTAAGATTTTTACATACATTCTTTTAAATCTGAATCTAAATAATATAATCTGTAAGTAAAACTAGAGAAAGCTTCCAAAGTAATTAAAAAACTATAAAAGATAGCTGCCCCTCCAAAAAGCACCAGCTTAAAAAAATTAAGTTAATGGGCCAGAATGTGAATGCTTTCATTAAAATAAAGGACTAAATGCTTATTCATACACAAGAGCAAACAAAGCAGAAGACTAAAAGAGAACATTTTTGAGGAATGTCTGTAAAGAATGGTTCATCTCAATCTGAAAAGCACAAACAGAAAGCACAGACGTTATTATTATTTTTGGTTTTTTGGAGACAGTCTTACTCTATCTCCCAAGTAGAGTACCATGTCATCCCTGCAACCTCAAACTCCTGGGCTCAAGTGATCCTCCTGCCTCAGCCTCCCCAGTAGCTGGAACTATAGGCACCTACCACACGTGGCTAGTTTTTCTATTTTTAGTAGAAGACAAGTTCTAGCTCTTGCTCAGGGTATTAATTTTTTTAAGTTTTAATTTCCACAGCAGTAAAAATGTTTACCCAAAATGAAACTATCCTTAAAGGTAAATAATATATAAACTTACTTTCTATATTTCTTTTTTTTTTTAGAGACAGAGTTTCACTTTATTGCCCTGGGTAGAGTGCCGTGGCGTCACAGCTCACAGCAACCTCCAACTCCTGGGTTTAGGCGATTCTCTTGCCTCGGCCTCACAAGTAGCTGGGACTACACGTGCCTACCACAACGCCTGGCTATTTTGTTGTTGTTGTTGTTGCAGTTTGGCCGTGGCCGGGTTTGAACCTGCCACCCTCGGTATATGGGGCCGGCACCCTACTCACTGAGCCACAGGCGCTGCCCACTTTCTATATTTCTAAACTTACTTCTATATATTACTTTACAAACTAGAGGCAGGGCAGTGCCTATGGCTCAAAGGAATAAGGCACGGGCCCCATATACCAGAGGTGGCAGGTTCAAACTCGGCCCGGGCCAAAAACTACAACAACAAAAAAGAATTTAAACGAGAGGCAAAAATTTTTATTTCTCATTTATAGTATCTCTGCCTCTAGTTTCTATACAACAGGAAATTCTTACTTTCATAATATTTTATCATCATTCATAAATTACCTCCATGGCCTAGTGATTAAAAAATACTTATTAAAATTTTCTGATATATAGAACTACCCCAATTCCTGACCCTCAGAAACAGATAGTAAATGTTTATTCTTTTAAGCCATTAAGTTTCCTGGCAATCTGTCATGCAAATAGAAAATTAATACATAGTTTGGCAGCTGGAAGTGGGAGCACAGCCATAACCAAAGACCTAAAATAGTGGAGAGGCATCAGTTGGTATCTGATGAGAGGGGGAGGTTGGCAGGTCTTAGAGGTGGAGGCTGAGGGAGCCCCGGAGAAACTGCAGGACAATGCCTTTGAGCTTCAGAGGAGGAGGCTTAAAGAAAGGGAGCAAAGTGGAGGAAAGAGAATACCTGAAAAAATATTTACAAAAAATTGAGCACACTGTTACCTGTGGTAACACAAAAGTAGAAAATGTGTTTAATGAAACGGGTGATCAAACTAAGGCGCTTTCCAGAGAGCGTTAAGGAGCCTGCCAGCTTCTTCCTACTTACACCAACACACAAGAGAGCTACAGCTGAAGGACGAATCGTTAAAGAAAACCATGACGGTAGGAGTGCACCTGTAAAAGCCTTAGTTAAGACCTCACAAATATCCAAAACTGTGCCCCCCAAAACCAATCAAACAATAGAACTTCTGAGAAGCTTAAGGAAGCTGTCACTTAGAAGTCTTAGCCAAAGTTCATATACGACACTTTAGGCTGTGGCTTTTTTTTTTTTTTAAATAGAGACAGAGTCTTACTTTATTGCCCTCAGTAGAGTGCTGTAGTGTCACAGCTCACAGCAACTTCCAACTCCTGGGCTTAGGGATTCTCTTACCTCAGCCTGCCAAGTAGCTGAAACTGTAGGCACCACCACAACGCCTGGCTATTTTTTTGCTGCAGTTCAGCCGGGGCCAGTTTTGAACCTGCCACCCTCAGTATATGGGGCCAGCGCCCTACTCGCTGAGCATAGGCACAGCCCTAGGGCTGTGGCTTTTGCCAACTGGAGTGAACTCCAGTAAAAAACACAGGAGACCTGCAAAGTTTTCAGAAGCATTACACTGGCAAAGCTATCTCTTAACAGCATCCCCCATTGGATGCTAGGTATGGGGTACAGATAACTGGTCTTTCTAGGTACGAGTCTCTGAGGGGAACTGCGTCCACACCAGGGCTTGGTTTAGATGGTGAGATCCTTCTGCACTTTGACGTGATGCTGTAATGGAGTATTTTGGAGAATCTTGGAGAAAAGATAATTAGTGGCCAGAGGGAAGACTTTGGGGGAGGGGGTGATTTAAAATATGCCTACAAATTATTGGATGGTAGCTTCAAAAGCTGGGGCCTAAATCCCCTCCCCCTGAGTGCTGACTTGGCAACTTGCTTCTCAGGAAGAAGTAATGGTGTGTGTGATCCACGCCGGGTCATGAGCACAGCAGCTTCCGCCCTCCTTCTCAGGGATGGTCTCCAGAGGAAGGCACTTGCCCTCTGGAGCCCTGTGGAGAGGTTCACCTGGCAAGGAACCAAGGCCTCCACTCAACCCCATGTGAGTGGGGCTCCCCAGCAGCAGATCCTCCAGCCCCGTCAAGCCTCAGATGACTGCATTCCCAGGGCAACATTTTGACTGGAGCCTCGGAAGAGATTCTAAGTCAGAACCATCTAGCAAAGCTGCTCCCAAATTCCTGACCCTCTGAAATTACATGAGATAATAAATATTTGTTTTAAGCTACTATGTTTTGGGGTGTTAAAAAGCAAAAGTTAGCTAATATACCCGGCTAGCTCCTTGAACAATTCAATTGCCATCTCCCTTAGTTCTTTCCCTAGCCATTCCTTAACTAAAATAGCTGCCACTATAACCCTAGTTTCTAGTCACACCTGTTTCTTTTCTATAGTGAATTTACCACAGACTGTAGTCTATTCATTTGCTTACCACTTTAGGGTCTGTGTTTCCTACTTCCCCATCCAAACAACGACTCTTGAGGACCGAGACAATGTCTGGACATGTACACCCTAACATCTAGTGCAAAGCCTAGTCAAGGGTCATAAACAAAAGGAACTGCTCACCTTCACTGATACAGCTAAAGAAATACAAACTAAACAAGAGAATAGACTGGGCCCCTGCAGCTCACTGGTTAGGGTGCCAGCCACACGCACCAGGGCTGATAGGTTCAAACTCAGCCCAGGCCTGCTAGACAACAACAACAAAAATAGCTGGGCATTGTGGTGGGCACCTGTAGTCCCAGCTACTAGGGAAGCTGAGCCAAGAGAATCGCCTGAGCCCAAGAGTTTGAGGATGCTGTAAGCTATGATGGCACAGCACTCTACAGAGGGCAACAAAGTGAAACTGTCTCAAAAAATAATAATAATAATAATAATTTTCACCTACCACAAGAGTCAGCAAACTATGGCCCATGGGCCAAATCCAATCCCCACCTACTTTGATGAGTAAAGTTTCACTGGGCACAGCCACACAGGCTTGTTTATGCTTTCTCTGTAGCTACCTCTGTGCAATGGCAAAGCTGAGTTGGAAAAGAAATCGTGTGACCCAGAAAGCTGAAAATATTTACTAATTGGCCCTTTGTAAAAAATGTTAGCCACTCACAATCTACCAAACTGTCAAAAAAACTGTGATGACATTCAGGTTTGTTGAGGATGCAGAAAAATGTATCCAAATACATTTTTTGCAGAAGAGTCAATAGGTGCAATCTCGTTGGAGGGGAAATCAATGGCACATCACAAATTTAAAATACACATATTCTTTGAACCTATAGTTTCATTTTTAAAAATATATGTTAAGGCTCGAGGCCTATGGCTCACATGGCTAAGGCACTAGCCACATACACCTAAGGTGGCGTGTTCAAATCCAGCCCAGGCCCGCCAAACATTGACGGCTGCAACCAAAAAATAGCTGGGCATTGTGGCGGGCGCCTGTGGTCCCAGCTACTTGGGAGGCTGAGGGAG